AACGCAGATCCACTGAGCGCTCAACACAGACAGCATCGTCAGAAGAAAAGTTGATAAAATAAATAAAAAAATTTGTATTGTTCAATACATGTGCGTATTGTTGCACCCCTAATACACACGCCGTATTTGGACGAGGTGATGGTGTACTGAGTTATCAGCTAACACTAGCTAGCTTGGTTAGCATCCAAAATTAGAAAAAAACTAACAGGATAAAAACGGATATCTGTTAGTTAATGCCAAGTAACAGACTAATAAACTACAAGGCTTACACTCAGCCTAACTGGAGAATCGACATCTTGGATGGTCTGTTAGTACAATTAAGCCATATTAACTGTCAGATAATGAAAATACTGTGAAAGATAGCTAGTGGGTACCTTTCATTAGTTAGCCTCAGATGTCCATAGTGGCTACTTCTCCTCAGACCTGTTTGCTGTGAGAGTTAGGTTTGTGACTCCAGCCAGCTCACAAGGCCTGAAGATGCTCTCAAATATCATTGACCATCAACAAATCCAGGGCCGCAGGATCTAGAAACTCCAACCCTTTAGCCTTGTGCTGCTCTCTTTCACTGTCATGACCATGGATTTTTTTTTCCAAGTCAACGCACAAAGGCTGCGGGCTGGCATGGAGCTCAGAGTACACTGTGATGATGTGATCAGACATCCCATGTAAATAAGACAAGGGATAGATGGGTCAGAGCAGCACTGCCTAAGAAAACAGTCACTGGGAGTTGGGATAAGTGAAAGGTTAGAGTCAGGGCTAGTTTACCAGGAAGGTTATTTTTATTTGTGATGAATGTGTTTGAAGGGCTTGGTGTTAACGCTGGATTACAGTGTTTGCTTTTACTGCAGGCACTATTCAGACCTGAAGGATAAACCCTTTGTCTGTCTGACTTTGTACAGATCTTACTTTGTTTGTGGGATTTTGATGATTCCAACACAAACAGGAAACAAAGCTAGCTAAGGTTAGCTAGCTAGTTGTTCCAGATCAAACGCAAATTTATTTTCAGAACCAGTTTCTGGTTCTGGTTCCTGGTTCTGTTTCCTTCACACAGTCCCCATTTATAAAGTACCTTACAAACTCTAACATTACGGGTAACATGTGGATTTTCCTGTTTTAGTGCAACTAGCCAGGCAAACTGCTTACTGCTTAAGACACAGAGAGTGAAAGATCTTTCATAAAAGTCTTTTGGTTTTTAACGTAAAAGTCATTGTTGCAGCCAGAGGAAGTACAAAAGTTTGCCTGCCAAGACTTAATTTTAGACTCTTTGTTTTCCACAAGGAGTTCAGTCACTAGTTAACCAACACTGACTCTGAAGACAGTCTTGTCTGAAAACATGAGAACATTTGCCATCAAACTAAAGTTGTGTTGCTTTAATTGTGTTGCTTAAGGCACAATTAAGATGGTAAGACGCAACTTTTACTGAAGGGTTGCAGTCAAAGTTTGGCAACCTGTTAGCAACCAAAGTAATCACAATTGACCTCTTTCTTGCTAGTGACTGTTAGCAACCACTAGCGAAAGGTGGTTACCAAGCAGTCTCTAGGCCTGTGTGAACGGGGCTTTAGCAATCACAGGGACTGCCAGCAACCACGTGCAACAAGTTGAGGAATATATATTTTTCCAGCACAACTGGTGGTTGCCAGATGGTTGCCAACGTGCCTGAAGGCCTGTGTGTCTGAGGCCTGAGCAACTGGCCATTTTTAAACTACTTTATCAACTAATGATATGAACTGGCTGTCACCAGATTCACTCAGAGTGGCCACGCTGGTCTCTCAGGTATTTTAGCTGATGCTACATGAGAGTTAGGGTTAATGAGAGTTTGAGTCTTAAGTTAAGTTAAATCTTGAAATGTAAGTGTGTTGTTAAGAGCTTAGAAACAGTTCACCACTTTCACCTATGGTGTTAAATAATGACTGCTACTCCATGAATGAAGGTAGAAACATGACACCTTACTGTCACGTGTTGCAGAGAAAAGCCTTAAACTGAGTTTCAAGACTGTTTGTACTGTTCACGAGTTATATCCAGCTAGTAGTTATAAAAGCCTGAATAAAATCCATTATTTTGAGGTGTTTTATTTGAGATGTTGGTATTTAAAACAGTGCAGGCATTCTGATGTTTGGATCCTGTTAGACTCACAACAGCCAATTCTAAACTCAACTCCCCATAACATCATTTAAATTGCCTAATGAGACCCAAAAATGTTCAGGAGAAACGGGAACTTGTCTTTAAAGTCCAACCAAACCTTTTTCCAGTAATAACTAAGCAGAGCAGAGAAAGGTCCTAAAAACACTGATCTATTGGAGTACAAGTTGGAGGTCTAGAGAAATTCCCATTGTAAAACATAATGAGGGAATGAGACCTCGCCAGTTGGCGCTGCCAGATTTAGGCTTGAAGGTTTATAACAAGTCTGCATTGTTAACTTGGCAATAAAAGCCCAACGTGAAGCTTGTGTGACAGAAAAAGGGCTCACGTAGCATGTTGCTCCAGTGCTAAGGATTTTGTGACATACTGCATTGTTGAAATTTGCTCAGTAGTTGTCATAGTAGCTTTTTGCTGGTGTTTGGAGCCAAAAAACAAACTGAGACATGACAAAAGAGATGTGATGAAACAGGAGCACAGAGCAGCAAAGCGACGGCAGTGAGAAGGAGTACAATAATGAATAGAATAAGGTCGGGATGCCCCAGAGATGGACGACCCCAGCAGGCATCCATTCATCCCCTCCCCATTCAGCCTCTGCTGTTATTCTTCAGGGTCAGTGGCTGTCGCTGAAAGAAAAATACTGGCAGGCTGACCAGTCAAGCATGAGCAGCACTGACCTACAATTTGACTGTCATCATTACCTAATGCTGCGAATGCAGTGAGGAGGGGGGAGGGAGGAGGAGGCAGCCAGAGAGAGGCACAGCTCTGCTGTGAACAGATTACATGTTTTACAGCACGTTTGGACCACTGAAGAAAAGAAATAATTAACATAAACAATAATGAATGAGGTTAAAGCCTTCTACAACTCATAAGAAAAGTGAGTAGAACACCAACAACACTTCTTTTCATTAATGTGAGTAAAGCAGGCAACAAATTAGTTTTCATTAGAACGACTCATCCTTCCAGCAGAGGTTTCTATATGTAGCTAGCTGTGTAATTCACTAAACTGCAGCACTTTCACACAGACAACTGCTATTGTCCATTTTTACTTACATTTCTTTTCAACTTAACCTTGAAAAGTGAATCGATATCTTTCTGTTATGGAGTTGTACAACTAAAAAAATTTGACTCCTTTTTTATTAATTATATATTTCTATTTGCCAATTTTTTTATGTTTTCTTTTTTAATAAATTTGCACATTTTTCTGTACATTTGACATTTTTTGATGTATTTCAAATATTTATTTGATATTGTTGATGTGGGGGAGTGTATCGTTCCTAAATGTGTTTAAAAAATTGCAATAAGCAAAATTAATTTGCTAATGTTTTTATGCATTTTCTTTTTTCATCAATAAACATTTTTTTTATTTTATTTAAGAATTTTCTATTTTTGCTATTTTTCTTGGATACATTTTTTTCTTGGACATCTGCCAGATCTAGAAATTACTTTTTATTTTTATTTTTTTGTTTTGTCATTGGTTGTTTGGGGAGAGATTCCTTTTTTTCTAAAACTATGCCCTTTTTCTCAGAAATTAGTGTGTTTTTCTTACAGTGTGACCCTGTTGTGTTGTTTCTCAGCTGGAGAATGGCTGCCTCCTTGGAGCCGCAAGCACGGCGTACGTCAGAACGTGTCTGATGTCCAAGGGGAACGCAGTGGCCACAGGTGACATCCCAGTCCCATGCCCAGATGTACTTCCTGCCCTCCAAGACTCCCAGAAATCTGGATTTTTCCTCTGAGAAGGTAGAACAGAAAAGAGAAGAGGAAAAACAGACTGTGTCTGTATGTGACAATCATGATTTTATATGGATGCAAACAAAAATGACTTAAGATCAGGTTCTCTTTAATAGCATTTGTTTCATCTCACCTGTGCTGCTCAGAAAACCTCAGATCTCCTCTGGTAGAGGAAGAGGACGAGCTCTCTCTGAAAGTGTCCACATCTGGTTCAAACATGTGGTCCTGACAATCTGACCACAACTGGGTTTTTGCTGTCAAGCCAAAACTCATCACTTTGTGACCGGTGTATAAACAGTTAATCGAACAGAAAATAAGTGGAAGACGCAATTACACTCAATTACTGCACTTTTTTATCTTTATTATCTCTCTTTGGTGCTCAAAATAACAAACGTCAACAAAAAGGCCGGTTTTAGTGGCACATAATGTGAAAACTGAACTATTCAAGTACTGCCGGCTATGTTTTTTAACTATAGGCACACCCAGCTGTTGGTTTAGGTTCAGCCGGAAATGATCTTCAAGTTTAAAAGACTTGAAAAGGGGGTTTATTAATTACACTCATTTCAGTTCATTTTTTTATGTTAAGAACTCTGTTATAATATGTCGGAGCTTCAGTTACACTAATTAGAGATGCTTTAGAAACATAACAGCTAATTACACACACACACGTTTATAGTTATAATAATTTACTGTACCCATTAACCTAACTTCCATTAACTTGAGTGTGATAGAATCTATCCTGCTTGTTCCTATGAAAACCTTTTTGATCACCACTTTATATTCATGCAAATATCTTGAAAAATATAGAAATAAATACAAATATTCAAGTAATAAAATAAATACAGGCAAACACTTTGAGCATGAGCTTTGACAAGTGATCTCTATGGTAGTTGAGAAGGACCAAAACTTACACGCTGAGTATTAATAAAAATAAAATATCACATATGCTGCATCAAGCAACAGCAATGAGTCAGCGAATCTTTATTTGTATAGCAGCTCAGTGCAGTTTAATGTACTTGATTGATGAATGACGAGCTGGTAATAAGACATTAGCTTGCAATGTTAGCCAATTTTAAAATAAAATAAAAAGGCAGCAGATGAAGTAAAACAGAAATTTTAAATGGTCTTTGGACATGATGAAAGTAAAACAGAAACATGAAATAATAAATAAAGATATATAAAATAAGGTCAGATAAAATACAATAAAAAGCAAAAAATAAAAAATAAATAGAATAAAATGTTTATTAATGAAAAGGGTCTAATGAGCAAGTAAAATTAAAATAATTTAATTCAGTAACAATCCTGAAGAACTTTTTATCAATGATTTGCAGATTGCATGTAATTGCCAACTTGACCCCATTCAGTTGCAGACTGATTGCAGACTGATTGCAGACTCTGTCTTATTGCAACAAAGTTGCTTTTAAGTCAGTGTATTTTGTGGAGAAACACTCAAAATATTTCTCATGACTGAAATGTCTCAAAAATGGTTTTCAAAACAGAGAAGATCAGATCAAATCAAAGCATCAGATTCAAACATAGAACAAATCATGCTTTCCACTATCTTTGCCACACTAGTGAATAATTCCTGTCAAAACTATGAAACTTTGTAGGAAAATAGACTGATGAATCCAGGAAACATTTTTGTGGTGTTGGGTAACGTGAAGGTTAAAGTCTTTAAATCCTCTGAGAGCTAATTCACAACAACCTTGATGATGTGTTGACCAAAAAAACCCAAAAAACAAATCTCCTGTAAAGCCTTGAGTCTGCAGCTCGACTTAAACTGCATTTTCTCAGCAAACTCAAACCAACAGCTGCCTTTAAAGTAGGAAACATTTTAGCTTAAAGCTCATGGTGTGGTGTGCTTCGAAAACTGGTCACAAGGAGTCATTTGAAACATTTAAAACCACTGGTGAAGACTTTAATCATATACAATCTGCAGTATATTTGAATGCAAACATTTTGAGCCATTCATTTATGGAAAACGCTGTGATGTCAGATCAGAGAAACAAACAGATTATTTAAACATCAGTGTTCGTTTTGTCACCTAGATGTAGATCAACTGTGGGGTTCGTAGTTTTTTTTTTTCCTGGTGCTACATATTGGAAAATAAGCATTTCTTTCCTATTGATGTTGTTTTAAATGAGATTTTCTTTGTCTTTTAAAATATGTTGAGAAAGGTTAAAAGGAACCCCGACTATTTCAGCTTATTGGCCTTAATGTCCTCTGCTGATCAAGCAAATCCTAAATCTTTCAGGTATATTTTGACCTACAAAAGCTGCCGTTAGTTTACATGTGCAATGCATTCAGCTCAAAATTACACAAAGGATGAACTACTGTGATATCATTTACAGTGCTTTGGTCCAAATAAAGTTGATTCAATTTAATGGCACCAAATCACAACAGCAGTTGCCTCAAGGTGCTTTATATTGTAAGGTAGAGACCCTACAATAATACACGGAAAACTCAACAGTCAGACGAGCCTCTGTGAGCAAGCACTTGATGACAGTGGGAAGGAAGAACTCCCTTTTAGGAGGAAGAAATGTCCAGCAGTCGGGCTCAGCCATGATCAGTAAGGGGAGAGGGGTTTAGACACATGGACGTGATATAAGAAACATAGAGGATTATTACAGTGGTCATCTTCATGTTGTACAGCTCGAGTACGGCCGACCAGAAAAAGTGTCTGTCTTGCTGTAGGGACCATTAGATGTCTCTACCCAGAGTGCACTGCAACTTTAAACAACATGGCAGCCTATTAGTGAAAGGACTTTTCCAGTTTTCATAAAACAAAGGCACAAGATGACATCACAAGCTCTACACGATTTCATAATCTGGGTTCCTTTTAAGATTAGAGAGGACTAGCAGACGTTTTTTATCGGTTCACCCTAATGCTGCATTTTTGCCTTTTTGAAGTTTACACCAATGTCGTGCACCGGCTTGGGCGGTCTGATTTGTCGATCAGCGGCGCAAACATCAAAGAGCATTTTTTGGTTTGTTTCCTGACCGGAGACAGTGTGAAAATCTCCCGTTAATGCCTTTCAGCCTGTCAGACTCCCGACCGTTTATTCCTTCAAAGTGTGAATAACTTAAAAAAAATATTTTATTCTCATATCTAAAGTGAGAACTTGTAGTTGGTTTAGCACTGACTGACTTCCACACTTTAATCCCTGGTGCACATTAATTAGCAGTATTAGAGCTCACCTGGCTGGGCTTTCTTCACGTGAAGCCCCTGTTGACCCTGCTGGTTGTGTAATGTTTGAAAATGTCTCGCTCACTGAGACTGCGATCCAGCTGTTCTGAAGGCAGTTTACGTCAAAGCTTACAGCCCACTGCGTTCATGTCATGTCAGATTAACTGGAACTGAAGAAGTTATTAAAGTGATAGTAATCAATATGTCTGCATGATCAGAGGGTTAAACTGGGGCTGTATGTGTTTTATGTTAAACAACACACAGTAATAAACAAAATGTGCTTGCATCACAAAAATATTGTTATTGGAAATTGTGACAGCCCTAGTTTAAATCCAGAAACTTCACAGACAGTAGCATTTTTTTACCGTTCCTCTCATCCCTCTTTGCAAAATTTGCAAAGCATGAATTTTGAAGTGTGATTTCAAATTATGAAGCAAAAGGAAAATGAAAACTAAAGCCAAAGTTTTTGTCTCACACGATATAAAGTGTCTGTGAAACCATCAGGATTTTTGGTTGGTGCCTCAGCGTTTTATCACAGGGCTGATATTAGCTGGTATCAGTATTTAAGACAACCTGTAAATGAAAAATAAATAAGAAACACCCTTCAACCATGCTATGAGTGTTAAGCTTGCACAGTTTGTCCACCAGAGGGCACTCTGCAACATTCTTGTTTGTAATTCGAGTTTGGAAGACCCTAAAACTGAATTTTTACGGTCTACAAAACTGATTTTGGCTGTTTGATTAAAAAATGGCCTGAACTTAAAATAAGTCTATTTTAAGTTTAGGCCAATTAAAACATACTTTAAAAAAATATTTTCGTGTGGTGGTAGGACAAAACACCCTTGGTGGGCACTCAGTATGGACAATGCACAATACAAATATTGCAGCATAGCTAAAAACTTACTTTTATCTGTAACAGTGTAAGAATAAAAACCTCAATTCAGTTGTAAGAAATGTAATTGTGACGTGCCAATTTCATGCTTCTGATACGAGGGTAAAATTAATACACTTTAATAGCTGTAATCCTCACAGAGAGGCATGACAAGGATCTTTAATCTATAAAGCTATGATTATGTTTTAGTTCTCTGCATGTGAGTAGCTGTTGTATTATAATGTAAAGAAGTCACAAAAAACTCTTGGGTAGAGCCTCACACTCACTATTTGATGATGAAATTAACCCAAGTGGACCCTACAGGAATCACGGACACGTAAAGTGTAGCGCCTGACTTAAACATTGCTTTCCCAGATTTGTAAAATTAAAATATAAATGTACTAAATCGGTGAAATGTTAAAAACAACAAGATAAATACAATCAATAAAAAAATTGTCCTGGAGTTACTCACCTGTTTCAGTTGCCCTAGTTTCCTTTCAGCTCAGTGTGAGAGTCTTTGCCGCTGTTAATCAGCGCCTCTTTAGTTTCTCCTTTCTTCACTCACTCACTGTGAGTGAACCTCCTCACCCACACAGTGGAGTACAACGTTAACACGTTATGTTACTGTAAGCGTAATAAAAGCTTCCCCAGAAATGTTAAATCAAGCATAAAGTGGAGGAGGCAGCAAGGAAAGCTTTTCTGTCGTGTTGACTCACATCGACGAAAGTTTGTCATGAAATAAAAATGTGGAAAAGTTGTGGAAAAAATGATTCTTTGACCTCATAAACACAAAGCATTAATTTTTAACGGAATGCAACTGAAATATGTAAAATAAAAGGTTTATTTGCTTCATTGAGGAGTGTGCTTGGTATAAACTGAATGTATACTAATCGCATAAATTTCTTTTGAGTAGATTCCATTGAACTGAACATTTTACGTCGTATTATTTAACAAAACTACAGAACATTTACTTAAAGTCAGCATTTTGGGCATAAATAGCCTTTTGCTGTTTGTTTTCTCCATGCAGTTTTAGCATTCTTTGTGCAGCTTTTTAAATCAAGATCAGTCCACATATTTAATTATGTATAATTATAAAAACTTAGCTTAGACATCAGTTGAACTGGTTTTGGCTTCACTTGAGGCTGTGGACTTCCTTTGGCTGCTCACTAACTAGCTGAAAGGCATTGTTGGACCTTAAGAGAGCCGTTTCAAGACACACTGGCAGGTTTTGTCTCGGTGCGTATAATGTGGCAGGGAACAACAACATTATTTTAGCTTTGTGTTTTGACA